ATGGTCAGCGAAGGCACTAAATACCAGGATTGGCTTCAATTTCTGAAGGACATAAGGAAAGTATTAATTTTTCTGCAAATGTCAGGGATAGCACAACATTCCTAAGAGGAAACAAAGACTTTTCTAGAGAGTTAAGTAGGTAATAATAGTCTGAATTTCCAGGTTGTTCTACTTTCTTATTGAGAAGGCTTGGAGATGAATATTGATATTTTATACCTATGGCTTTAAGGTCTAAGGGAAAAATATTTATAATTGCAATATATTCATTTCTATTTTTCCTCTGAGTCTGTGGGTAGAGTAAGTAGGATTAAGGGGTAATACTGTTGCATCTTTTCCTTTATAGACAGGTGTGGTATTGCTATGCAGTGAGTGAGGGACATGAATAATGCTGACATGCAACTTGTACACAATTGGGCTTCACAGTTTGCATGAACTGGAATGAAGGAGGACAATAGGGAGGTCATATCCCCCACCTCAGTGTGACCCCCAGACCAGAAGCATCAACATCTCTTGGGCACTTGTTAGAAATGCAAATTCTCGGCAAAAACAAACATGTTTGCTTTTGGCCCATAGATTGCTAGTGTGCAAGATGTCATCTCTCTTACTCCCTCATCCCTAGATCCCCACTAAGTGAGAAAACTCAGATGGTGGAGGTGCTTTATCTCGCTCCTGTAGAGGCTGGACACAAAGTAAAGACTCAAATCAATCATACAAACATGATGAGATNTCCTTGTCAAGTGAAAAGGTGCTGGTTTCTTTTCCGTTTGAGGTATTTCAAAGACATTTCTTCTCATTCTACAGGTGCTTGTGGTGGGTTTCTGAGGACAGGAGATGCTCCAGTCTTTCTTTTCTCCCCGGGCTGGCCTGAAGACTACAGTAATAGGGCTGAGTGTACCTGGCTCATCCAGGCTCCTGGTTCTACTGTGGAACTCAATATCCTTTCCTTGGACATTGAACCTCACCGAACATGTGGCTATGATAACCTTGTGATAAGAGATGGTGAGAAACATTTTTTAAAAAATACTGAGTTTCAACCCTGACACNACCAGAAGCATCAACATCTCTTGGGCACTTGTTAGAAATGCAAATTCTCGGCAAAAACAAATGTGTTTGCTTTTGGCCCATAGATTGCTAGTGTGTAAGATGTCATCTCTCTTACTCCCTCATCCCTAGATCCCCACTAAGTGAGAAAACTCAGATGGCGGAGGTACTTTATTTTGCTCCTGTAGAGGCTGGACACAAAGTAAAGACTCAAATCAATCATACAAACATGATGAGATTATAAACTACGACTTTCTTCCATTTTTCCTATCAACAGTCGGCTATCAGCACATTGCCCAGAGGAACTATTGTCTTTCCTGACATCAAGGCATTCTGTGTATATTAAAATTTTTTATGTAATAAAATGGGTGTGTTCTTGCACACATAGTGTTTGGCACCCAGTAGAAGCTTTAAGAAAATGCCTTCTGTAAGTAACTGCATCAATGAAGTAAATTATGGTTATTCTTTAAAAATCACATTCTACTTAGTTGCTTTATGTTCCATTAATAACTTCCCCTGGAAGCCTAGACTCTAGGGAGCAGTCTTTTTCTCCTGCGTGACCCTGCACAAGTCACTCAATGGCTCCAAGCCTGTTTTATTATCTATGAAAGAGAAAGGAATACCTACTTCTTGGGTTTTTTTGTGAGGGTCAGGGAAAGCAATGAATGTAAAAATCTCTAGCAAAACTACAAGCATTTTGTTGATGCAGAATTTGATATAGTTCAGATTTTAATATACTTAGATATTTCTGAGTATAAACCTGAAGAGTTTTGATCAGTGTCCTTGCTTACAAGGACATAGAGCATCTTGGAAGAGCTCAGCAAACTGAGGCATATGCCAAAACAACAAAAATATTTTAAACTGGCTGTGTGACTTATTTGTATAGGTTCCTTTTCATTCATCGACGTGAGCAGATGCCCAATAGGTTCATTCTTTCCTCATTTGTTTATTTACTCATTCAAGAAATAGTTATTGAGTGCCTACCATGTGTCCATTGGTGGGTATTTTGTTCATTTGCATGAGATTAATACATTTTTAGAATTAACTTTTAAATCTCACTTCAATTATTTCTTCTTTGGCTAACCTTTTTTATTTTCTTGCTTCTGAGTATCAGGTGCATGTAACATTCTGAAGCAAATATCTAAAGCCAAGTGGCCATAAGCAATTGGCCAATTGTCACAAGCCGTTGGCCATAGAGTGGCTGTGAACATTCCTAGGTCACCCCAGAGAGGATCCTGCAGCATTCTTGGGAGAACTGAGTCACTCTTCTATCTGCTTATTCGTTTTACAAAATTGCCATGATTCAAAACTGAATCAGTCTACCAGATCACGTACCAACAAATTTTGCATACCAAAGATTCTCTCCAACTGAGGTTCCACAAAACTATATTGGACCTTGCAAAAGTTAATTTAAAAAAAAGAAAGTAAAGAAAAGAAATTGTATCGAAAATCAGTACTTTTTTAATATAGCCCCAGATCTGAAATGTACTTTCTTTATGACCTTAAATCACTTAATAGCATGGTTTAGGGGCATCTGGAGTTAATCTGCCAGGGCAAAAGTCACTGTTGACTTCTATGCTCTATACCCTTGCATATAACAATGTAACTTGCATCCCCTCTAAGACTCAGTTTTCTTATCCACAAAATGTGGATAATAATGCCCACTTAATAGTGCTATTATGAAGATAAAATCAGATATTAAATGTAAAGCACTTAAAGTGGTATGTAGTAATTGCTCAATAAATGTCAGCCTTTAACAATCTTGGGTCCTCAGTTTCCACATCTCTAAAATGGAGTAGAGAAAGAATTACCAAGTCATCTTGTAGCCCTAGCTTTTAGGGTTTTTTGACTTGCCCCTCTCTTTAAAGATTGGGTTTATTGAGGTTCTGGAAGGTTCTAGAAATATTCCAATATTCATTATGGAGACTGGGTGTTGGGAGGGGATAGAAAGGTAACAAACCAACAAGTAATTGTTTAGAGTTCAGCATTAAGGGGAAGTTTAGAAAAGAAATCAAACTCAATAGGACCCTCCCAGTCTCACTGAGAGATGAAATATACACGTGTGAAATAGTGACATATAATAAACTTCTAAATTTTGCGGTACAGTAATTAGAGAATAACTCATCAAAAATAATATTGGGTGAAATGTACAGCAAAACAGCATTGTGACGATAATAAGTGCAAAAGGAGTTAAAGTGACAAACTTTTGAATTTTAAAAACCACAAAAGTTTCCAGAGGTCAGAAACCCTCCAAAGAATGCCTTTTCAAGCATCTTGTATTTATAAACTGTGCCATTACGTTTATAATCACAGGCATAGAAAATAACTTGTTTTCTAAAGTAGTTAATAATGAATGAGGTTAAAGAAATGGTTAGTGTCAAAAAGGACTCATTTTGCTGGTTATGTAAAAGGGCAAATTGCCTCATGTCTCATATTCTATTTTTGTTTTTTATAAGCTTGAAATTTATTACTTCTCTGCCTTAAGAAAAAAAAATTTCCCAGCCAAGCAATCCAAGTCTGCTATAGTTCTTTTTGTTCCATTCTGGTTTCGGCTGGGATATTGCTTTAATTGAAACTTATGTCCATGGGAAACAAAAAGAAAGGGACCATGAGGTAACTGGCTCTCCTTTGCATCTTTTTTTCATCCCCCACCCACACAAGTGTGTTCCTTTAACAACAAAACAAACAAATAGAAAACAAACAAATGAGAAGTTAAAAAATAAACAAACCCACTGGAGCTGAAGAAAGGGACATATAAAAAGTTGCTTGCCTCTTGGTGAATGACATCGTAATGCTAGTATAGGATCTGAGGATGAAGAATCAACCTTTTTTCTCTCTTTTAGATACTTGACCTTCAGCAATCAGAGTAACTGACATCAGAGTCTCTAATTCAAAGACACATGAACCCTGCCCTTGATCCCTTCCCAATCCCATTACTCTGATGTTGAGTTTTAGTGCCTGGAAGAACCGGCAGCCAGGTTTTAGAAAGACAAGGGGAACTCAAAGACGTCTTTATCAAAATGGGCAAAGAAAAGGGCAGGCAGCACCACTGAAACCTGGAGCCAGAATGATGTAACCCCTGGGGTGTCCCTGTTTTCGAGAATCCCATTATCTCCTAGGAATTCTGTTGTTCCGAGAAAAACGCGTGAGCCGCTTTGGCTAGTCTCAAATGACGGTGGAGTAGATACTAAAGATGTATTTTCACACTGACATTTCCTTTCTTTGGTCATAGGAGACAATGGCATGGTCCCACAGCTAGCAGTTCTCTGTGGAAGAGAGGTCCCCGGGCCCATCCGGTCTACTGGAGAGCACATGTTCATCCACTTTACCTCTGACCTCAGTGTGACCGGGGCGGGCTTCAACGCATCCTTTCACAAGAGTAATGCCTTCCAACATTTGTCTTCTCTCATCTCATCTCGTCTTGTCTCTTTTCTCTCTTTCTAATGTAATATTTATGTGCCAGGGCACAGGTTGTTAAGTCAGAGGACACAGGTCTCTGCCAAGCCTCTAGACAGCTACCCTATGTCAAGTCTTGAGTCCTGTTCCGAAGCACCATGCCTCGCCGTATGAAAGGTCTCCTGCCTTCAGATCTCTGGGTGGGGTATCTTCCCCCCAAAGAAGTGTGTTCATGGTAGCACTGTAATTTTTCAGCCTAGCTGAGGGCTGGAACTAGAAAACAGCACATATCCATAACACAATAAGGAGCAATAAGTTACAATTTATCTTCATGAATCCCTTGCTTGAAATCTTCCACTTGAGGGTGAGCAGGAAGAGTTTATTGCTCTTAAAATATGAATTTGATGTGTCAGAGGGCATGCAGAATATATATAGATGTTATCATGCATAGCATGGTGAGACTTTCAAAACTTGGGATGTGCCTTATATCCAAACTAGACTAAAATTAAAGTAGTAGTTTGTAGAATACTGAAAAGCAAAATTTTAAAGGAGATTTTCAATCTAACATTAACAATTAATCTAATATTTCCTCCACTCTTATATACGCCTTTTATGAAGTAGGGAGCAATCACAGATAAATTATGTTCCTCGCAGTCAAGGGAGGCAGGCTCTATAGTGGTTTAAGAGAACATGCTTTGGAATTAGACTGCAGACAAATTTCCACCTCTGTAATTTAGCTGGTTGTGTGAGCTCTCTACTCACTTGCTGATAAGCTGTCCAGTCCCTGACAAGTGGCAAATTAATGTCTGCTCTGTCCTCTCTCTTTCCTCACTCCCAACCTCTGTCTCTCATGTATGTGTGTATGGCAGCTCATTATACATACATATATAAATACATGGGGTCTTCAGAAAGTTCATGGAAAGATTTGTATTATCTGTTAATTCCATTTTTCCCTGAACTTTTAAAAGTACCCTTGTGTCTGTGTATAGATAGGCATATATATGTATATATGTAAATATAGTAAGGGCAGAACCATTGTGATTTATTTATATGTGTGTATGTATATATTATATATGTATAAATGTTTGTTTATATGTATGTAATGTATGTTTTTATATGTGTGGATGTACTCATGTCTGCATATATGTATATATATACATACTTGACAGTTCCATATCTAGAAGGTATTTCAAACATAATGTGTGAAAACTGAATTCTTGATTCCCATCCTTTCCCACCCCCCAAGCCTGCTCATTCCACACTCTTCACAATCTTAGTAAATGGAAAGTACATTCTTTTAGTTATTGAAGCCAAAAATCTCAGTGTCATTCATGATTCTTCTCTTTTTCTCACTCCCAACATCCTAACCATCAACAAATCACAATGGTTCTACTCTCTCAGTATACTAGATTGCAACCATTTTTCTCCATTTCTATTGCTGCCATCTTAGTCCAGGCATCCGTCATCTCTCCTTGGACTCAGGTAATCCCCTTCTTATTGTACACTCTGTTTCTGCTTTTTCCTGCCTAACCCACCCCACTAACAGTCTAAGTACTACAGACAGAGTGATTGTTTCAAAATTTAAGTAGGATCATGTCATTCTGATGCTCACAACCCTCCAGTTCTTACTGAGAATAAGTTTTTTCCATTTCCTGCATGACCTAACCATGCTACCTTTTGGATCTCTCATTCTGCGTTATCCATTCTGACTTCTGTGATGTACCTCTAACACATCAAGCCTTGACAGTTTTTTGGACCGGAATGTTCTCCCACAAAGCCACCTGGATCAATCCCTTATTTCATTCAGGTCTCCGCTCAGATGTTACCCCAACGATGTGCCCTTCTCTAACTTCCCTGTGCAAATAGTACCCTTCTCCTTCATCCCATCAGTTTTTCTTCATAGGACTTACCACTATCTCACATATTATATATTTGATTATTGCATGTTTTCCTCATCTATATAGTAAGCTTTACAAAAGTAATCTGTCTCTATTGCTTATCTCTATATCTTAGATCTTAACAACAACATTTAAAATGTGCCCAGGAATACCCAGGAGTACCCAGGAGTGTTTCTGCAATAAATGCTTGTTGTACTAATCATTTGGTCCATTAGTTTTAAGCATTTCTACTGCCTACACTTTGAAAACCCCCAAGAAAACCAGGAAAGCATAAAAATCCAGTTGTCAATGTCATTTAAATAACCCACCTTTGTTTCTTCTTGGGAAGGCTGTGGTGGATATTTGCATGCAGACAGAGGGATTATCACATCCCCCAAGTATCCAGAGACCTACATTCCCAACCTCAACTGCTCTTGGCACGTCCTGGTCCAGAGTGGCCTGACCATCGCTGTCCATTTTGAACAACCCTTCGAGATTCCAAATGGAGATTCTTCTTGCAACCAAGGAGATTACCTGGTGGTAGGTCTTGTTTGCTACCCTTTCTAATTACTTTCTCTGCAGACTTCATTCAGAAAACAAAATGATTTTTGTCTCTTGTAACATAAAGTAATAGGTCTGTGAATTGCACTCCATCGTTCATAGTATAAAGGAGTTTATGCAATTTTGATTTGTCTTTCCAGCTAAAAAATGGACCTGATATCTATTCTCCACCCCTGGCACCCCATGGAGGAAATGGTCATTTTTGTGGCAGTCATCCTTCGTCAACTCTGTTCACCTCAGATAATCAAATGTTTGTTCAATTTATCTCTGATAATAGTAATGGAGGGCAAGGATTTAAGATCAAATATGAGGCCAAGAGTTTAGGTAAGTGTTTTTGCTGAGAATTACATTTGTACTTTTCCTGCAATTGCTTGATCGTCCTTGTTTCAATAGGTTTGAGAAAAAATTTTTAAAGTTTCCTAACTACAAGTAATACCATCAGTAAGAGCCACCTACTCATCAAGTACTTACTTACTATATGCTTGAGATAGTTAATATTTCATCATGAAGACTTTTTAAAGAAGGTATCATCATTTCCATTTTATAGATAAGTAAAATGAGGCTTGTATTTTCCAAGACCACATATCCAGTTATGAAATTTCCATGAACTAATCTTACTGATCCCTGAAATTCCTTAGACCTTTGAATTATGTCTAATTGTAAGTTACATCTAGTTACAGAAACATTACAAGAATTTTGTTTGCCTTGTTTTGTAATCATTTGTGTGCTTCCTTTCAAATGAACACATAATCCTCTGATTCTATCATTACTGATTTAATTATATATTAATCAGTGATCTTTAACTGAATTACCTTTACTTAATCACACTTGATTATAATTATATTTAATTCTACTGTAATGATTTAATTTTTGTGACATTTACTTTTTAATAATGTTTAATTGAAAAATAAATAGGCATAGCTTTAAAAAAGAGAGTAGTGTCAGTGGAGAGCAATAGAATAATAAATCTTTGCCTGTTCTCCCACCCCAAAATTAGATAATATGGATTGCAGAATGATCCTATGACCTTAATCCCAGATTCCTGAATATATTTCAAAATACACACTAATCTCAATAAAATCATATATCAATGTGCATCTTGTACAAACAGCAGTAATGCACATTCTCCCAAAGATGAGATTTTAAAATGTCAGCATTATTTCTTAATTTTGGAAATGAAGAAGAAATAAAAGTCTCCACCAAGTGACAGAAAAATCATCTAATAGCTTGAATAGGGTCAAAGTCTACAGGGAATGTGCTTCTGCTGCTTCCCAGTGCACATGGCTCTGGTGTGTAAGGGAGCTTTCCCGCAGCTCTGTGCACACCAGCATCATCACTTTGTGGGTCGGGAACTTCTTTCCTGCCCCTTTCCATGGCAAGCTTCATGCTGAGGCATGCATGCACAGATTTACACCTGGTACTGAAGCACTACCAGAGTAACAGTACCTTGGGATTAGCAAATAGACTCTAGCCCACCCTACAGAACTCTACTTTTCCATTTTTATTCATGATAGACTCAGTCTTGATATATATTTGTAAAGTCAACATTTAGTGGTGATGCAGAAACACTCTCGGTTTCTTTGACCATACTGTGCCTCTTCTGTTTCTTTGGGGACCCACTACTTATGCAAGCATGGTCATGGCCATTCTTCTTTTCATGTTTCTTCGTGCTTATGGCTGCCCTTAGTATTAGACTTAAAGGCCTTTGATTTCAAAACCTACTATCGGGCAGCAATAGACTCAGTCTTGATATATATTTGTAAAGTCAACATTTAGTGGTGATGCAGAAACACTCTGGGTTTCTTTGACCATACTGTGCCTCTTCTGTTTCTTTGGGGACCCACTACTTATGCAAGCATGGTCATGGCCATTCTTCTTTCCATGTTTCTTCGTGCTTATGGCTGCCCTTAGTATTAGACTTAAAGGCCTTTGATTTCAAAACCTACTATCGGGCAGCCCCAAACAGTAGGATCATTCTTGTTTGTTTCTCCCTAATAACTTATTCAGCCATTTTCCTTAACTACACCCAGACTTCTACTCCCCTATCTGTCTGGCTGTCTTTCCACCATACCTACTTGCAGGACACTCCCACTTGTCGGCCTTTAACATGTTTTTGTGTGAACATCTTTTGATGTCAAGTTTACTTAGTTTTATGCCATCTTTCTCCAGAGACACTACTTCACTATGGTTGACTGAGATTTCTGTGATCCTGTACTAGATGCCTTTGATTCTCATCTGGTTAATTGGCTCATTAATTAATTAATCAGAAATCTACAAAGTGCTTTATGCTGTGCAAATCACCTAGTTCTGTAAAGGAGTTCACAGCACAGTAGAGGAGACAGCAAGGAAAGGCGTGATTAGAACATAGTATAATAAGTGCTAGATAGAAGGATGCATAGAAGCTAGGTAAACATGTGGGAGAAACACCTCGCCTTGTCCAAGAGATCAGAGAAGGTTCCTAGAAGAAATAGAGGAATAGAGACATGCCAATTAGTGAAGAAAGATATGACAACATATGAAGTCTCTATGTTATGAGATAAGGCATATTCGAGGATTTGAAAGAATCCACTACTGCTGGAGAATAGAGTCTAAAGGACATAAACCTAATGGTAATGAAGTAGACAGGAATCATCATTCCAAGGAGCATGGATACTACCATAGGGAGTTAAGATGTTAACCAAATGGTAATAGGGAGCCACTGAAAATTTATCCAAAGCATGAATAACACAATCAGATTGGAAACATCAATGTGGCTGCAACATTGGAAACATATTGGGGGAATGGGGGAGACTAAAGAGAGAGAGACCAGATGAAAGAGTAATTGAGGAAAAAAATAGGTCCTGAACTAAGGCAAAGGTAGTAAGAAGGTAGAAGAGAGGGCATATTGAGAGATGTTACAAATATGGAATTGAGTGGATTTGGAGGTCAGTTAGATGTGAGAGGGGAGAGAAGGTTTGGGAGGCCATGGGGAACTCTTAGGTTTCTGGCTGGGTGGATTTGTTCATCCCACAAACATTTATTAAGAACTTTCATGTGACATTGTACTAGGTCCTGGGAGTAGAGCATAAGCAAATAAAATCCGTACCCTCATGCAGCCTAATTTTAGTGTTAAAATACAGATAATAAATAAGAAAGTATACGGTATTTCATATGGTAAAAGGTATTACAGAGAAAAATAAGGTAGTGAAGGTGGATAGGGAGTGTCCATGGGGGGAGGTGACACTGTCATTCACTCGTGGATGGGATTCTGGATGATGAGCAGATGATAATTGTCCGGTTCAAATCGGCGGTGGTAAGTAACAAAAGGAGCCAGGCCAAGGGTTTAAGGCAGGCTTTAATGGACGTGCTCTTGGGTGAGGTTCCACGGCCCCCAAGGGAGTGAGGCCAGGGAAGTCACGTCCAGGGTAGATACAAGCAGGTATTTATAGGGGAGGGCTGTTGGTGGGTTTTTGCCCATATATGGTAAGGAATTGAGCAGGGTTCAGTTTCTGGTTCTGCCTTCTGGGGAGGGAGGGAGGAGAAGGAAGGGGTGGAGTTAACAAGATGGAGACTCCATTGCTACTTTGTTGCGGCTTTCCGGTCCTCCTGATCCCACTGGCCCAACAATAATGTCAGTTTGAGATGTGTTCAGTTTGAAATCTCTGAATTACATCCACTGGAGATGTCCAGGAGGCTGCTGGAACACGAGTTTGGGGGTCAGAAGAGGGTCTGGAGTGAATCTGTAAATGTGGGAATCATCAACAGACTGGTGGCAACTTAAGTCATGGGGATGCATGATATTAGTCAAGGAATTATCTAGAGCGAGGAGGTGAAAGGCCCACCGAGGGACTCCTGGGGAGAAGACCTCAGCGTGTAAGAAGCCGAGAGACAAAAATGTCACGAAGGAAGATGTGATCAACCATGTTAAATGCTAGGGATATAACCAAAGAATTAAAAAAGATCTGTGGGTACAACTGTGAGATGATTGGGGACCTGAACAAGAGTGCTTTGATAGGGTTGAAGAATGAAGGGGGGTGGTGCAGAGAGAGAGAGAGAGAGATCAAAAGCACAGGAGCAGGGAGGTTAAATAGAGCAAGATTCTAAAGAGACAGAATGGAATGGGAACTTGAGATACAGGAAGAAACAGGAAGATAATATATGTATAGTGTTAAAAGGAAAAGAAAATGAAGGTAGAGATGTAGATGGATTTATTAAGAATGGTAACAAATAAGGGGTGACGAATTGAGGGGATACTTATCTGATTTCTTCTATTTTTTTCCTAAAGTAGATCTCAGTATCGTGTGCCGAGATCAGGAGAGAATGGGGAGAGTAAAGGGTTTAGGGAATATAGTTAAGTTTCAAATGACTGTTGTAGTTTATATGAAAAGTAATGCATGAATTACTTGGTGGTGCTGAGATTGGAGAACATGTATTTGCAGAGGTATCAGTTTCTGTGAATGGCTTGAATTAAACACAGCCATGAAGTTGGGATTTTACAAGGGGAGTCTGAAGGAAAGCCATGGCCCAGGGGAGTAAAAGTCCATCAAAATGATCTGCAATTTAGAGTTCCAGAGATGGGGGAGTTCTAGGTAATGACAAAAGTTAGGTTGTGATCACTGGTGGCTAAGTGATAGCAGAAATATATGTTGCTGGAGTTTAGCAGATCAAATATTTGTGCAGCTAAATCATTGGACAAGTGAATGTTATTGGCTTTTTAAGTACATTTACTCTTGCCTGGTTTGTCTGCTGAAATTGCCAAAGAATATTTTTTTATAAAAGAAGAGTACTTCTATATAATACTTTGGTATTTTTAAAAAGTATAGAAAGCTCCTTTATCTTCTCGAAAAAAGATGGTTAATAACCTCTCTTGCCGTTGATCTCTCTCTCTCTCCAAATGTATCTAAATCCTGATGAAATGTAATGAGCAAATGCCCACAGACTTGTACACCTATATATCTGCTTAGTCTGTTAAACGACTCAAAATCATAGCTCTGCATCACTGGTCTGAACCGAACTATCAGCGGGAAGTTATAACCGCTGGTGTCTGCATGTGCTCAGTTAGGTGGTGAATATATATTCTTGCTTCTGTGATGTCTGCTGCCTGTACCACCTGCCAAATTCATTTTGTTGGCTTTAAGAAAATGAAATTTCCAATGAGAATAAATGGTTTGGCAAATTAGAAAGTAACACACCTGGTAGCTCCCTTGATAACAAATTCAGAATTTATTTGCTTAAAAAGAAAATGAGGATAATTCCAGATGAAAGGAAATTGAAACTGGAAATACAGATAAATTGACTTTGAAAAATGATGGTGGCAGTGGACCATGTCCACCTAACAAGACAGCAGACTGATTTAATTGTGTTTCCTGACAGCCTGCGGGGGCAATATCTACATCCATGATGCAGATTCTGCTGGATACGTGACCTCCCCCCACTACCCTGACAATTACCCCCAGCACACTGATTGCATCTGGATCATAGCAGCTCCTCCAGGAAGGCTCATAAGGCTGCAGTTTGAAGATCAATTCAATATTGAAGCAACACCCAAGTAGGTCACTTGCATTTTAATTTTTCTCCTCCCCAAGTTAATATTTTTTTAGCTGTAATGTCTCAGAACAATCTATTCCTTTATATCTCAGCAGCACATACTATATAGGAAATCTAGGGACAAGAGAAAATGCTGAATGCCTCAAGCCTGAAACATCGCCTGGCAGCTGAGCAGATTATGTACACAGATGCTGTCCCTGGTGACCCTAGACGTGTCTTCCAAGAGACACCGAGGGAGGCTGTTTGAGATTTATGTTATCCGTTCTTCCTCTTACAGGAAAAATATAGTGTCACTGGTAGATGGGTATCTGTTTGCCCAGCCTCATATTCACTGTCATAAATGATAAAATATCTGTTTAACAAATGGAAATATTTGTGATGGGGCACTGGAGTCACCCATGTCAGAAACAGGACTAAAGCACCGTTTCTACAGTACAGTTTCCTAGCCTATTTAGTAAGAATTTTAAAGGATTACAAATCAGAGAGTAAATCTTACTGTGTTGAAGACAAAGGAAAACTATATAGACTATCAGAAACCAACTGTATTTTTCTTTTTCATTGAACATGTGTGGTACAAAACTTAGACACAAGAGTTTTACCTGCCATTTTTAGGCACTGGATACAATATTACTCTTCCACGCGCTGAGCATTAGTTGGCTAATTTGACTTTCTCAAGAAACATTAGGTAAATACTTGTTCTCTTTTATGGACACAGAAAATTCCAACTGAGACTCTCCATTAGTTCTAGTCTCAGAGCTGCCAAGAGACAGCTCATCTTTGTCTTGTGAAATGTACGAACTCATCATGTGAAACAAAATACTTGTGTTTTTGAAATTCACGGGGGTTAATCTGAAAATTACTTTTGTATTTGTAAAACTAATACAGAATATGGAAGGCAAGTAAATAGTCCTGAGTGCAGTACATGTGAAACCTGTCTTTTGAACTACTAATGAGAAAGTGTATTATCATTAGGAAAATATTATACAGCATTTTAAAATGACACACAGCTTAAACTGACTCTGTCATAGTGTCTTATTGATACATAAATGATGATTTAATAATCTCCTTGAAAATAGTTAGTGCAGTCATCATTATGAAGTCAAAGCAATTGGCCTTATAAATTTAACAAATTTTTTCCCATTTTAGCTGTACTTCCAATTACCTCGAGTTGCGGAACGGAGTTGATTCAAATGCACCAATACTTTCCAAATTTTGTGGGATATCTTTGCCCAGCAGTCAGTTGTCCTCAAGAGAAGTTATGTATTTGAGATTCCGGTCTGACAACAGCCCCACTCACATTGGATTCAAGGCCAAGTATTCCATAGGTAACAACATTTTTTTTTATATGAATTAGGAAAGTAGTGGTAGAATGAATACATTAAAACTTTAGGGAGAAAACACACAACTTTTAAAAAAGAAGTCTTTTTATCTGCCTAACTTTAAGAATTATTTAAATTCTAGAAGTAAGTAACAAGTGTCAATGTTTAAAACCAGTCATTTATCAATTTTAATTTCTCCTTTGATTTTTATTTTAAAACACTATTTTTAGTAAACTTGAAAAATTCATATTTTTTTTCTAACTTGTTTGTAAAAAATACATTCAGTCATTTTCAGAATTTTTAAAACTTCAACTCATCTTCACTTGGCACTTAGAAGTTTTCAAATGTGCTGGCGAAATCAGAAAAAAAAAATCTGTAATAGAATATTACTCTTTTTTTGCAGCCCAGTGTGGTGGAACAGTAACAGGACAAAGCGGTGTCATTGAAAGCATTGGACATCCAACACATCCCTATAGAGACAATTTATTCTGCGAGTGGCATCTCCAGGGTCTCTCAGGACACTATCTCACCATCCATTTTGAAGATTTTAACCTTCAGAATTCCTCTGGGTGTGAAAAAGACTTTGTGGAGATCTGGGAAAACCATACCTCTGGTCAGTAAAATATGTCTGCTCTCTTTCAGAGTGTTTCTTTTCACCTGTACTCATTTAGCTTCTGAAGTTTCTTCACTTCCAAGAAATGCAAAAGTATGTCTACACCCACAGAGAAGTGCAGATCAATCTGGGCTGCACTGGCAATTCGCCCCCTCGAGTCTACCGATTAACAATGGAGGCCCAAGCACCCCAGGTGTCAGTGTATAGCTTATCCTGGAGACCACACTGAGAGGGCACTGTACTGGAAGGGCATCCTTTTCCTGCTGAGACCTCCCAGGGCCATATGCAATTATATGAGGGGCATCCTATAAGGAGACAAAAGGATAATGTATGTCTCCTGGAAATAATATGAGACAGACACTTGTCTATTGTCTCAGCTAATTTCTTTAACAAAATGAGCAGGTCTTTCTCATTGTGCTGAGATACCCTTCCCTTAATTGGTTGAATTTTTTTATACTTCTTCATATATTTGAATATGTTTATTTTTATTCATGTTTTTCTGTTTTTCTTGACAAGGTTACCATTTCTTCCTGGACAGAGTCTTGGCTTTTATTATTTTCTTTGTACATGCAGCACACCTTGGAGTAGAGGTTAAAAGAAACCAGTCCCCTGGACATATACATACTTAATTCTTTGACTCTCACAGGAAATTTCTTGGGCAGATACTGTGGAAACACCCTTCCTGACAGCATAGACACTTCTAGCAATGTTGCTTTGGTCAGGTTTGTCACAGATGACTCTCTTACTGCCTTGGGATTCAGACTGCGGTTTGAATCTAGCATGGAAGGTGAGTTCATTGATTTATTATTTAAAAAAAATTATTGACGGGCCGGCCCAGTGGCGCACTGCTACAGTGCGCTGCTTGGGAGCGCGGCGGCGCTCCCGCCAAGGGTTTGGATCCCACGTACAGACCGGTTCCCGCTCACTGGCTGAGCGAGGTGCGGGAGCAACACCGAGGGTTGCGATCCCGTAGCCGGTCCCGGTCCGGTACGGGCACGACACTGAGGGTTGCGATCTGTTGCCGGACACGAAAAAAGACAAAAAGGAAAAAAAAAAAATTATTGAGCACCTACATTGCGTAGACACTATGCTAGGCACTGGCGTTATGGTAGTTTGAAAAACAAAACAAAATATCCTCTTTTTCTTGGACCTCACAGTTTCGTGGAAAGACAGACAATCAAATAGTCACACCCAAAAATGAAATTATTTAAATAGCCAGACCCACAAACGAAAAACTGAAAAAGTGCTCCAAAGGAAAGTAACGAGTATCATGAGAAATGTAATAAGGGGACAAGAGTTACACTGAAATGCCCATTTTAAGAAAGCCAGTCCATTAGTCTGTATTAACTCAGAATTGTATTCCCAAATACCCTGACAAACTCAGATGAAGTAAACGTCTTGTCTGAAAAAACTGGACAATTACCTTAGCTTTCTTATTTCCCTGATTCTTAAGTTCACTATATGTATTGTTCTCATATTTTGGGAGGCAGGATGGCAATTAAAATGTCAGTGGACTATCGCTCAATTAATACAATGATATTAATATTAAATATTAGAGATAAGTGAATACAGATGTTCTCTAAAAGACCTCACATACATTTAGCGATAAATAATGACAATAACTTTGTCCAGAGGGATCATTAAAAAATACTTCAATTTCGAGAGCATTTCTTATAGAAGGAGTCATTTTGATTTGACTGGATGTTTTCTTGGCTTTTGTCCTCCCCTTCAGAGTGTGGTGGGGATCTGCAGGGCCCTACAGGAACATTTTCTTCTCCCAACTACCCAAACCCAAATCCTCATGGCCGGATCTGCGAGTGGAGAATCACTGTGCAGGATGGAAGGCAGGTCACCCTAACTTTTAACAACCTGAGGCTGGAAGCTCATCCATCCTGTGACAATGAGCATGTGACGGTAAGTGTTCTATGCAGTCAGGGATATTATATTCCATTGTTTAAGGAGCGAATTAACCCATGAATCATAGTCAGAAAATTCGATCAGGAATATTGCTGTCTAGGCAACTATATCTCAGACAATTCTAAGTGTTTTAGATAGAACAAAATCATGATAAACTTCCAAAAATTATTGTAAAAGCTGTTTTAAGGGACTATCAGCTGTCACTACATCCATCCGGGTCATTGATGGGATACATTTTAAGGGCAAATGATCATTACATATGACAAAGCTAGGTAGGCAGTGAAAAGCTAAGCCTGAGGCAGGACATAGCTGAATGGGACCAGAGTCACAGCACAAGCCACGACCAAAAGTTTTAAGCAAATGGGTGGTCCTGCATAATCACTGTTCTCTGCACTGAGGGACAGCTGGTGGGAGACCATGGCTGCCTGCCCCACCCCCTGGCCGTTGCTGACCTCAAATGGTTTGGGATGTGCCCTCAGCATTCTCAGCTCCCCTTAGCAAAAGAAAGCAAATAAGTTCCGTGTGAATAACAAATACATGAGTATTGTTAAATCATGAAGTGCTATACGTATACACACGTATGCATACATGTACACGTATGAACATATACGTGTGTGTATAGATAGATTTGTTAGATTAATATCAGTACATCTCCCCACCCAACTTCCTTCTTCTGAAGTCTTTGTTATCTCAGCAATAACAATTCCAAACTTCTGGTTGCTCACTCAGGTCAAAAATCTTGATGTCTATTTTGGACTCCTTTCACTCCCACACTATATGGCATCCATAAGCAAGTCCTATTGGGTGTGTCTTTAAACAACACCCAGAATCTAACTAATTCTCATGATATCCACTACTATCACCATCACCACTCTCTTGGATTCTTTTCATAACTTCCACCCAATCTCTCTACTTTCCTGCATCCCCCTACATTCTCAACACAGCAGCCAGCATGATGGTTTTAAAACTAAAGTGAATCATGTCACTCCCATTGAAAAGCCTCTAATCATACTCAGAGGAAAATCCCCGATTTTTCCAGTGGCCCACCTGGCCCTACTCCCTCTTTACCCATATGTCTCATCTCATGCTCCCCTCCTCTCTGCTCACTAGCATCCAGCTTCCCTGGCCTCTTTTCTGTTCCTCTCATTTACTATTGCCCCTATCTGGAATGTTCCTCCCCAGATGGCTGCCAGGTTCACACCCTCACTTCCCCGGGGAAGTGAATTTTGATTCCTCGCTCAAATAAATTTTGATCCAGGAGGCCTTGCCTGGGTACCCTGTGTGAAATAGACCCCATTCCTGCATGGGTTGCTTTCACAGCACTTCATGCCGGACGACACAAGTCATACTTATCCATTCGTCTGTTTATTGTCTGCTCCCCACACTGGAACGTGGACCCCCTGAGGGTGAGCACTTGGTTTCACTCTCTGCCAAATTCGAATCCCCAGTGCCTGCACATGACAGAGATAATGATCGTTGAATGCATGAATAGTAGAAATACTATCATTATCCTTTTTTAAAACAAGCTTCTTTTGTTTCCAGTTTGTCTCCAACGGGGTAGGGAATTTCAAAAATATGAAACATCTTTGTGTATTATTTACCATTTTGTATTGCCCTAAAATGATCTTATTCAACTTTCAAGTTTTGTTCTTAGTTCTAATATCTAAAGGACTGAAGTTTTGTCTTTTATCACGTATTGGAAATATGGAACACAGTGTGTTTTCTTTTCTTTCTTTCTTTCTTTTTTTTTTTAGTGAAAATTTTATTTCTTGTGTTTTCTGTTATTTGAGAGCCAGGAACTCTTGGACTAAGGTTGTTTATTTTAAAGGAACATTTTTTTCCTATTACCGATTGTATGTATATAGAAACAAAGATGACGCAGAAAAAAAATTAACCACTTCCACCATATTATATTTTGATGCATTTTATATTATTTTAAAGGAACATTTTTTTCCTATTACCGATTGTATGTATATAGAAACAAAGATGACGTAGAAAAAAAATTAACCACTTCCACCATATTATATTTTGATTCATTTTATTATCTCTTCTTGGCAATGCATAATTTTATGTACTTATAATCATATGATGTATATTCACTTGAATACTAATTTTAATGTTTTTCTTTTATAAAATAATGGATGCTTATTGAACAGTATTTGAAGAGTTCAGAAAATAAAAAATATAAGAATATTTAGAATTCTATACACCTATTACTAAAATTTTGATTTTATATACTAATAGTTGTTTTTTTTCCTTTAAAATTGTTTCCATAGTTTAAGTCATATTGACTGTAATGATTATTAGGAGTTTTACCAACAGAATATTTACACGTCCTACTGGAAAAATAATATGAACAGTCATAGTTTTAGAACTCAAATAATAAAATAAAATTTACAACAGCAATCACTAATTCCAAATCAGGCCTTACGTGTCATCGCCCCATCCCTTAATCATAGTTGCCAAAGGCATCTACTTTGCACTGTTTTAGCTACTTTTCTGGTGGTATTTATTCCATTATTTCTAAATAACATTCCTATTCTGCTACTCCTTGATTTTTTGGTCCTAGACATTATCCGTTTCCATCCTACTATAGAAGATGAGGATGTAGCTTTTCACCAGCACAAATGCACAGAAGATGTCCACATACTCCCCCAATTTCTTCCTTAAATAAAAATATATGTATATATGTCACAGCTTTTGTTCAAATTGTCGTTCAGTGTTTACATTACTGTAATTATGTAAACACCATTCATAACTAAGCCAAGGAGTGTACTCCAACTATGGTAACATTTGGCTTTGTTTTTCCAATAACTTGTGTCCTTTTTACGTATTCTTGGTTTTCTATGCACTGATTATCACACCCTTTCTACCCCAGGTGTACATCTCCACCTTATGTAATAAAACACACCTATCGGTTCCATTTATTTTCCTCAGTTCCATTTATATCCCTCCTTGAACCTTTGCCCATCATCTGCAGGCCTCATGCCAGCTGTCATTTTGGGATTTCCCTTCACCATCGAATTTCAAGTCCCTTCATCCCTCTCCTGGGCTGAATAGCTGGCTTCATGATACTGTGCATTTCCCTTTCTTGGTTAATTTCCTCTTTTTGGTGAAGCATATGCTGTGTAGCTCCCTAAAGAAATGGGCATGGGTGATAGACTTTTTTGAGAACCTGTATACCTGAAATCATCCGTATTTTACCCTCATTCTTTGAATATATATATTTGAATATTGTATATATTCAATATATTCATATACATATGAATACTGTATGTTAATCATAATTTTGAAGTTTTATGTTTCTTTTGGGGGGGTCAATTTCCTTTAAATTGCTGTCTCCTACTTACTTGTATTGGTCTCTGCCTTTTACATTAGACATTTCCCTAAATGTCTGATGACCCTTGGCCGTCCATTTATATTTAGGAATGAAGTATTAAAAAGGCTGATTGGAAGCTCTCTATGCATGACTGGGGCTGTCAACTTGTGGGCTTCATGGGAGGTGACTGGGGTGGTTGGGGAGAGGTGACTTGAGTCTTTAGTTAGGGAAATCTACAAATGTCATATCCACAGGTCTTTTCTCTTAGTCGGGGGGAGGGTTTAAAACTCCAACAAGGAATCACTTTCACAATTAATTTATTTTCTGTATCTTTAATATGATGTCCACACCCCTTTTCTTTGAAATGTTTTTTTTTTTTTTTTCCTGACCGGTAAGGGGATCGTAACCCTCGGCATGGTGTTGTCTACACCATGCTCAACCAGTAAGCACACCGGCCATCCCTATATAGGATCTGAATCTGCGGCCTCGGCGCTACAGGGCCGCACTCTCCCGAGTGAGCCATGGGGCCAGCCCAATGTATTTTTTATATGTTCATTGTTTGTTTTGTTTACTCTTTGCTCTGCTCCAAACAAAGTTATGTGGATCGCACTTTGCCCACACTGTTTACTTGAGAACCTGCCCTGAAAAAGGAAAGAAATTTTTTCTAAGATGTGCAGGTAGAATGGGGGCAGCTTTAAGTGCAGCTTTAAGTACTCTATCCAGTTGCACATAGCCTAAAATTCCTCCAAACTCAACTGCCTATCTTACTCTCTGTCCAAATGCAGAGAATGGAAAGTTACACTACTGAGTGGGTACTACAGTGAGACCCATGTCTGATTTTGTTCCTGCTCACAGCAGCTTTTATAGCCTGTCCTGACTCTCATGTGCCTGCTTCCTACACAGTTGTTCTCTGGGAGTTGTCGTTTCTGAGTACAAGAGGGATTAGAAGACAAGAATGGAAATCTCTGTTTGTTTCTAAAAGCAGAAGTCGATGTGATATATGGATGACTACAAAAGTTTTAATCATTGTGATTCTAGAACAGGGGCAGACATAGAGGCAGGGACAAAGGCCGTGGTCATGTTTCACATATATCCCATTAGTCTTATAGTTGGTTGTAATCCCCTTTGATTCTGGCAATGTGTTGTCCATTCCTGTTTTCAGTATTATTGAAATATTTTCATCTTTTGTTTCTTTATGCATTGCTTTGTGGTTTGGAATCAGGGATGATTTGAATTCCAGATCTATTGTGACTAGTTCTTTGAATTTCAGCAAATTGTATAATCTTTCTGAATTCTCGTGTATGAATCTGGAAAACAGGAAGACTGTTCTATGCCTGAAAGGGTGTTGTGCTGATTGGATTAGATAGTCTGAGTGGATGATTAGCAGAGTCTAGCATTTTGTCTGTTCAGTAAGTGATAGCAAACTCTTCGTCTGGTCCTGTGAACCGGAAGACACTTTAAACCAGAAGTCCCCAAAGAACTAAATTTAATGGTCAATTATAGCAAGCAATAAAACCTACGTCTTTCATTACGGAGTACATTCTCCTTCTCCATAGCTTTTAGTGTCGTAGTTTGAGTTATTACTTCTGATAGTGAACCATTGCAACCCCTTTTTAAAGACAGGAATATCAATCACTCAATCAATGAATTATTCTTAGTTATTTCTTTTGGATCTTTTCTGAACTGTGAAAACCAGGCATGCTAAAATATTCACTTGGTTTTTGTACAGCAGTGGAATAATAGTTTGCCATTCTTTATAACTATGTGAACAGCTAGAGTTATTGTTTAATATTTTGGAGTCAACAATATTCTAATCCATTTTTTAAAAGTTGGATGAGTAGGAAAATTGAAGCTTTTGTTCTATAAGTAATTAGGAAAGAACTATTACATTTATGTTTATATTGAGATCGATATTTTAAATTACTTTTCAAGGTATTTTAAAATGTTTGAGTTATTATATTCTTCAAATCATTTTTTCTGACAGGTGTTCAATGGCATTAGAAGTAACTCACCACAGCTAGAGAAACTGTGTAGTAGTGCGAATGTAAGCAATGAGATAAAATCTTCAGGAAACACAATGAAAGTTATTTTTTTCACTGATGGATCCAGGCCATATGGAGGCTTCACTGCTGCCTACACATCTGATGAAGATGCAGGTAAAGGAGGGTGTTGTAAATACACCTCATTTTAATCAGATGCACTACAGATACCCCACAGCTACTGCCAACAGCAACAGAGCCATCCATTTTCTCTTTAGTGACCAAAGACACACCTAGGATCTTCAACATAAGACAGACATACATAATCAGATAGAAAACCCACTCCAGACAGAAAAAAAGCTTTCTGATTTTAGAAAGAAAGCTGCTATTGAGAATTTAAAACTTTTTAGAAAAATGCTGTTAGATGAGCTTCTAGCACAATGCTATGTAATGTTAATGTAATTAGAGTTGGTTGTCAGTCCTGCAGTCCCTGGCTAACTCTTTTGTTCTGAAAGAGACCATCTACCTCTTAGAGGGTAACTTCATTTCAGAGAGCAATTAATTTTATTGGGGCAGAACACATTTTATTGTCATCCATCCCTATATAAGGGTACTTCAAAAAGTTCATGAAAAGATTTTATTATCTTTTAATCTCACTTTTCCTTGGACTTTTTGAAATACCCTCGTACATATTTCCAGTGGAAATGAATGGGGAGTTTGCATTTGATATAGGGTATTTCAAAATTAAGCAAAATGTGCCCTCTAATTATAAATATCCTCCTTACTTTCTGGATTGGTACTATTATCTAAGGGTTTTAAATTTTAGGAGAAGTGGAGGTGAATATTTTTTTAAAAACCTTATAAGTTATTTTATTGGTATAAGAAGCATTCTTTCCCTTATTAGAAGGGGCAGATTTATTGGCACTCCAATGTTATATTATCTGTTTGATCAAACTACATTCTTGGATCAAGTGGAGAATTGCTAATCAAAAGCCACTGGGATCTACCACCATTTTATTTGTATATTCCTCTAAATTAAATATTAATGAATAATAAATTGGAAGTATTAATACAGAGCCAAACCCCAGCCTCCTAAAACAGGGAAATCAAGAAGCTGTTTATTTTAGAGTGTTTCTTTTAAAAACCCACAGAATTTCTATAATTTGCATGCACGAGCTAGTCCTTTAACCACACCAAAAACAAATCAAAGCAGTAATGTTGCTGTTACTCTGGTTACTGTTCCTGGGTGGTTGGTATTTTCTGTTATGGCATGGATCTTTCTTCTACTTTCTCTGTTGCCTTTTATTTTCTTAGTATGTGGCGGGTCCCTTACAAATGCCCCTGGAGGAAACTTTACTTCTCCTGGCTACAATGGAATCAGTAATTACTCAAGAAACCTAAACTGTGAATGGACTCTCAACAATCCAAATCAGGGAAATTCATCCATTTACATCCATTTTGAGGATTTTTACCTAGAAAGTCACCAAGACTGTCAATTCGATGTCCTTGAGTTTCGAGTAGGTGAGTTGAATCAAATAACATTCTCCCGTTTGTCTTCGACATTCTTCTGATGCCTGCAGACCATCAATGAAGGGAATCAAATGGCTATTATATAGGTACATAAGATTCAACAAACTTTGGCCAAAGCAAGCTGTAATTCTGTGTGTTCCATGCCCTAGGGAAGTCAATGAGATAGATCAGTGTTTAAAACTAGATACTGTATCACAATTGTTTGGCTTCTCAGTATGTGAGACTTACCCAGGAGAGATTCTGGCTTGACTCTGCTCTCTTAAAGGGTTCCAGTGATCCCTTCAACTATTAACTACCACTCAAGACTCCTTTCTTAGGAGACTGGAACTTAGCATGGTTAGAATGTGTTTCCCATTTCCTTATCTTACAGGATTCATAAAGAGACTGTAAAATTTTACTTAGGCTTTAGAAGTCAAAAGAAGTTTTGCAATGTACCAAATAGAGAAGCACATGGAAGCTATTTGGAGAATTATCTCCAAAGCAGTCTAGTCTGTCATTGTTTTCTTGATGAAAGGGGATTGAGGTGTACTTGGTAAACCATAATTCTCTTAAGAATTTAAAAACTCTGTATTCACGGAAAATTAATCAGTTTTAGTTCTTTCCCATAGTCATGGCATAAGTCATCTATCAGAGTGTTCCCACTGTTACATTGATGCTCTTTTCTCGGTAAATACATAAGTAGATAGATAAAGAAAATGATATTGTAAATAGTCTATACTGTCAAAGGTTTCCTGAGGTTTGGGAGGTAGAGGTTGTAATTTGAGAATGTACCCCCTGAAATTCTGATAAACCCTCACCACCTCTACCTGGTTCAATACCACTGACTTTTAGCATCAAGCACAACAACCGTATATCAAATTTCGGTCAGTTAAATGCAATCTTCTCTTTATTCCCTTAGATTTACAGACAGTTAAAATACTATAGTCATTGATTTATAGGGTCAGTGATTTTCATTTGATGGAATAAATAGAAAGCAGATAAACGTGAGCTCTGTGGGTGCTCTATAGATGTTAGTAAAATTTCTGCGAAAGTAACCTTCATGAAAAATATTCAGCTCAAATAAGACAGCTCTTGGACTGAGTGCTAAATATTCTGTTTATTTTAGTTGATTCAATACACTAAAGAAATCTTTAAAATTTTAGACAATTACAACTTTTACATTGAGGATATATTTTGTCGTTCTTGGTAGTATATTTCTTACTCTCTAAGAAAAGGTATATCCAAAAGTTTTTTTCTTTTTAGTTACTTGTATCTCTGTTTAGATATGCTAAAATAGTTATGAAAACACAAAGTGAAACAAAATGACACCTACAGCAATGAAAGTTTTATAACAAAATAGCATGTTTTTTGGTTTGTGTTTTATCCTGTTGGAGGGATTCTTTCTTTTGCAGTTGACAAAGATAGAGAGGAATTTTGTTCAAGGCCAGCTACTAAATCAGAATTTAAATGTGTCAATGAATACCTTGAAATGTTCTTTACTATTTGTTTCTTCTTAATTCATTGAATGTATTTCTCAAAAGTTATTATAAATAATGGCACTTGGTGTATTATTTTGTTCAGGTGATGCTGATGGGCCCCTGATATGGAGACTTTGTGGCCCTTCACAGCCTACAATACCATTGGTTATACCTTATCCTCAGGTCTGGATACACTTTGTCACCAATAAAAATGTAGAACATGTTGGATTTCATGCGGAGTATTCTTTTACAGGTAAGACTTATGATTAAGATTTTAAATTCTGGCAATAAAATAATAGGTAAAATTTCATAATTTTTTCCATAAAGATCTCACATATGTTTTGTTAGATTTATTTCTAGGTAGCTATTAGTTTTGTTGCAAATGTCAATGAGATATTCTAAACTACATTTTTTATTGGTTGTTGCCCATATCTAGGAATTTTGTAATTTTTGTACATTTATCTTTAGTCCAGAGATCTCGCTATACTCATTAGTTTTAGTATTTTGTCTAGGATTCTCTTTGGTTTTCTGTGTAAACAATGATGTCTCCTGCATACGATAGTCTTTTTTCTTTTAGCCCCAATTCGTTATTTCTTTTTCTTGTCTTATGTTACTAACTAAAGTCACCATCATGACGTTGAACAGAAGGGATGATAGCATCTTGTTTCTGCCTTAATGTGAATGTCTGTGAGACATTTCATTGTTAAATATGTTGGTCGATCTTAGGTTTCCAATAAATACCCTTTATCAGATTATAGAAAGTTTCTTCAATTCTTGCTAATGTTTTATACTGGATCTGCATCTGTGACATTCAGAGTTTGTACCTGAAAATCCATCCTGAGATGAGCAGCAGTACTCCTTGCTGTTTTCCTGGGCCATTGGTGTTTTTCTAGTTCCTTTTCAATAATATTGCAGTCCTTTCAGCTTCCCTAAAATCTTAATTCCAGCCCTTCCTTTTGTGGAGGTCCAAGGCCATATCTTCTCCTCCTCTCTGGTCACCAAATCCTCAGACCCCCCAACTCAGGGTCCCACATCTTGGTTCTTCTCAGATTACCACACTTTTAGCTTGAGATTATCCCCCTGAATTAGAATATGCTTATTGATTATAGATTTTGGAGAGCTCCTTTTCTTTCAGTGGAGTTCGGCTAAGAATCAAAATATGTTTTGTTATAGTTTTATCTAATATTTCTTTGTGTTGTAACCAAATGGCTGGTTGAAAAAAGTGAGATTGATTATAATCTATCCACTCAACCATCTTGCCAGTTGACTTTTCCTTATCAGATTGAAAGAAAAGACTTTATGAAGCAGTATGATTTGTGTTGAACATCAGACCATACTATACTTTAGAAATGTATCAGTTTTTCAACTTGCTATGCTAATGTATAACTGATAGCTGACTATGTGCTTATGATCAAATGACAAAGTGTTTAATTATCTAACTGATTACTCCTTCCAGCTTATATTTATTTTCACTTGCCTAATTTTTTCAACAAATGAAATGTTACTTACTTTGTCTAATTCATTTGCTATCATTAATACAACACATCTAATTATTCTCTATGATATAGATTATTTTCTTTCTCCTTTGTACTAAACTTGAACCAATTTTTACTATGTGATTCTGTTTAATTAACACTGTATGGAATTCTGTTTATTTCTAATCTTCCACCAAATTGTATTTGTTTTTATCCAATTTCCTTTATTTATTCATTTATTGTATTTTTAAATCATAAAGTATGATGGCTATAAGTGCTACTTTGAATTTGCAGGGGTTCTTTTTCCCATCTTCTATTTTATTTAGAGAGTTACAAATCTAATTTCAGATTGTGGCGGAATACAGGTGGGCGAGAGTGGAGTGATTACAAGCCCCAACTATCCGGACTCTTATGACAGCTTGACCCACTGTTCTTGGTTGCTGGAAGCCCCACAAGGCCACACCATCACTGTGAGTTCTGATAACTGGATAAACTACTTCTAAGACTATATCCATTTCTGAGACTATATCACAGAAATGGAATTCTTTTAGTAAGTGAGTGATTAGAATAAGCTTTGATCCAGCAATCAGATTGTTGTTTCTCTCTAAAACTCTCTCATGAGAGTACATGTACTAGTATCTCTAAGTTTGCAGTTAATAAAGAATGAAATCTCTTTTTCAAGCAAAGAAGAAGCTGTACATAACAGATAATTCCACATACAGGAGAGAAGTATATTCATGTTCTTGCCCAGAGGATTGGTGGGGTCCCCCATGACTCCACTTCCCGGAGAAATATCCCTTCTCAAAATTTCCAAGAAAACTTCAACATGGGAAAAGAGTGGAGGAGAGGGAAGAATTAAGTAAGAGACAGAAATACAAAATTGTATAAATTAAAACAAAATAAAAGTATTTGTTGGTGCTTTATCTACCTTTGAGGTAGATAAGCTCACTTAACCTGGAGTGCCTCATTATTTCTTTCTTCTTCTGCAGCTTATATTTAGTGACTTTGATATTGAAACCCATACAACTTGTGCTTGGGACTCTGTCACTGTCAGGAATGGTGGCTCCCCTGGATCACCCATAATAGGACAATACTGTGGAAATTCAAACCCCAGGACAATCCAGTCTGGTTCCAACCAGCTGGTGGTGATTTTTAACTCAGACCACTCGGTGCAAAATGGTGGATTTTATGCTACATGGAGCACACAAACTTTAGGTAAAAGAAATGTTCTTTACACTAATTGTCATTTTTCAGTGATGTATTTTCTGAATTTAACTAATTGAAAATATATGCATTTTGTACCTACTCTGTGTTGGGCTCAGTTCTAAATATTTACTCATATCATCTCATGTAACAACCCTGGAAGGATAACACAATATCAATACATATCATCTCTATTTTGCACGGGAAAAAACTGAGGATAAATGTGTTGGTAATTTGCCTAGAGCATATAACTGGTAATTGGAAGAGTCATGATTTGATATAAAGGCAGTCAAGCTCAGAAACTTTGATCTTAATACTTCACAATGCTTGCTCCATAGACAAAGAGGCATGGAACAACCAGGAAATCTCAAGTGTTAGAAATATGTGTTGGAATCACAAGTAGGTTAAAATATTTGAAGTTTAAAGACAGAATGCTGAGTGGTAAGCTGGGAGTAGGAGAATAAGTAGCCTACATCACGAAGAGCCGTGGTTTATATATTACCCATGGAGCAATGGGGAGCTATTGAAAAGTTTTGAAGAAGATGATGATATCTGTGATTTAGAACAAGTGCTGTAGTATGTGATTACTGAATCAAAATATCACAGATTTTTTAATAGCAGCTTTTGTGCATATAAAGTATAAACCTTGTGAAAATTCTTAGAAAATGTGAGGACTTGCACACAATACTTTTTTCCGGATTTCAATAAATCCTGAATATCACACCGGACAATTCTTTCTAGTAGATTCAGAGTTATTATGGAGATCTTTGTAGAATGAGTCAGACTTTCCCTCATTAAACCACTGGCTGCTGCTGAGGTTAGAAGGGAGTTTTATATGAAGCACTAGTTTCAAAGTGTTTAAAAGCAAAAGATTCAAAGAATGCTCTTTAACTTCATTTTGTCTTGTATTCATATTTTTCTTTGCCATCTGAAGTACATATTTTTAGTATGAAAATAATTCTAGATTTTTCTTTCTTTTAATCCATGTAATTTATTTTCGTCCATTGGTCAGATTCAATATGAATAAGCCAGATTTCTTAATGGAAGAATTTTCTCCAGTTCTAAATCACTTTCTCTAGTCCAGTGTGTTAGAGTAAAATTACAAATGAGTGTCGAGTTGTATTCTCATATGTTAGTGGTAATAAAATACAGAACTTGGCGTTGCCAGGCTACAAATACTACATAGCCTTAAGAGGAGTAATAAATATTGCTATTGTTTGAAGACAGGATAGAAATCTATCCTCTTTATGGCAAGGATTACTCGTCTCAGCTGAGTTCAGTATAGGTGTAACAAAGCTGTAACAGCTGAAGTTTCCTCTGAATTCAATGCACTTCTGCATTTATTGAGAGTTTCTGCTGTACACCTGTCCCGAAGATGAGACATACTAAGAAAGATGAACTGAGATCACATACTTTGAAATGCTCCTTCTCTGAAAGTCGTGGTTTCCCAAAATTGTTATTTTCCTTGCAGATTGATGACTTTTCCCGTGACAATTTTTCAGGTTGTGGTGGAATATTTCATTCAGAAAATGGTACAATCAGATCCCCTCACTGGCCTCAGAATTTTCCTGAAAACAGCAGATGTTCCTGGACAGTCATTACTCATGAAAGTAAACACTTAGAGATCAGCTTTGACAACAACTTCCTAATCCCCAGTGGTGGTGGACAGTGTCAGAACAGCTTTGTGAAGGTTAGTACACTTGTTTATTTAACTGGAGCCAAACTGGTTTTACGAACATAAATGTTCAGGCTAGAAATGATTCATTGTCTTTCAAGTTTAAAAAAAAAAGGACAATTTTGACGTTTGAACTTCTTCAGTGAAAAAAAAGAAAACCTCACCTATTAGGAATTAAAATTTGAACCATAACACACAAATAGCCTCATGGTTTTTCATTGGCTAATACCTAGGCAAAGTAACTTATTTAAGGAGATTGTTCTCTGGCCTTACTAAATTCTCATGAGCATTTATGGTTCTTCCTTTCCATGGAAACTAAAGCGAGAGGACAAGTTTTATTTGTTGGGTTTTTTTTTCTTTCTTTTTTTTCTAATAGGTTCTAAAGAACAAACGCCCTTTACAATATAAGGTACCATCACAGGCACATTTTAAAGTATGCCATAAAAATTACAGAAGTTTGGAGAAGTAGCTAATGCTGGCCTTCACCTTGGCCATAAGAGCCCACAAGCTGAAAAGAGCATGAGAGACCCATGTAAAAATGATGGCAATGGGATAGTCCCCAAAGCTCTCCTTCTCTGGAGTTACAAATACTGCTCACGTGGCACAGACTTATCACTTTCCCTTGACTTATGACCATGATGACTGTATTATTGATTGATTTCCTCTATGCTATTTTGCAGTCTTGTATGTTCTGTCTCTAAGAAGCTATGCTTTTTAGTGGAAAGAGTATTGGCCTCAAGGTTACATTAGCCTGAACTCCATTCATATCTCTTATGCCACTTCCATGTTCTTCCATGAGCTAATTAAATATTTGAGCTCCACTTCCATGTTCTTCCATGAGCTAATTAAATATTTGAGCTTCAAGTTATTCAACTTCAAAATGAGAAGAATGCTTCCTACTTTACTAGGGCTGTTTTGGGCAGTAGAACTAATACAATATAATAACATAAATAATACACAGTACTTGGAATATAAAGTCATCTAATGACTAGAAATGGCTTTTATTGTCAATGTTATTATTTCATATCATCTCTTGAATTTTGTTTTATATCTTATTGATCCATGTTTACTGTTTAAATGAAAATACCATTCTTATATAAAATATGTGCATAATAAAGCACATTTAATATACACTGTTCCTAGCTGCCTTTTCCAAATAAACTTCTCATGAAATGAGTCCGTATCAGATGTACAGATTTAAGCAAAGCCTTGCAAGTTCTCCAGTTGTAAAAATGGAACCTGAAGAAAGACAGGTTTATTTCTCCACTGGATTGAATGGGAATGAGTCCTTCTGATAATATCAGGCAAGCCCAACACCACTGGCAAGTGAAACCTGTTAGGAACGTTGCCAAACACAAGTGGCCAGAAGAAGCACTCCTGTTCTCCTGCTGAGACTCTTTTCTGCCAAGATATGCTGGAGTAGGGGTGGGGGGGATAAGGGGTCAGAACCAGTAAAGGGACCCAGTGTGGGAAGCCCCTTTATTCCTGTGAGTCTGAGACTCTCTTCACCTGCCCAGAAATAGCAGGGCAGGCAGAACTGGAAAAAAGAGGCCCAGTCACAAAAAGTTTGGGAAGGCTCTTTGTCCCCATGGCATTAAGATTCTCTTCCCCAACCCAGAAACATGGGAGATCATGGGCAGAGCGAGAAAAGAGGATGTAGTCACAGCAAATGGCTTTGTCCAGGAAGCCTCTTTGTCCCTACAAGTCAGAGATGTTCTTTCCTCAACCAGAGACATTGGGGCAGCCAGGGGGCATTAGCAGGGGAATCCTACTGTACCCCTCCCCTCCAGCTGAGAAACACACAGAGGCCCAACCAGGTGAAGCACCCTAGCCCACTTAGGTAACACCATCATGAACTAACAGGAGCCCCAGAAGCACCACATAAACCAAGCAGACCAAAATTACACCACAAAGACTCTGAAAATTGAAGAGCCATTGGAATCACAGCCCACAAAAGTATGCAGGACCACATGCTAAACAAAAACAGGATGACTGCCTGCCTAAATAAAAGATTTAAATAGGACCCAGAGTATTCTACCATAGTAGATAAAATGTCCGAGATACAATAAAAAAGAACCCATTAGGGCCGGCCCAGTGGTGCACTGGAGAGTGCGCCGCTTGGGAGCGTGGCGGCACTCCCGCCGAGGGTTCGGATCCCACATGGAGACCAGTCCCCGGTACGGGCGCGACACCGAGGGTTGCGATCCCATTACCGGTCAGTAAAAAGAGACAAAAAAAAAAGAACCCATTATACCAAGAACCAAGAACATCACAACTTGAGTGGGAAAAGACAATCAAGTGATGTTAACACTGAGTTGAATCAGATGTGGGAATTATGGGACCAAGATGTTAAAGTAGTTTTCATAAAAATCCTTCAGCAATCACTCACAAATTCTCTTGAAACAAATAAAAAAAATATTAAATCTCAACAAAGAAATCATAGTTGTAATGAAGAACTAAATGGCAGTTATAGAACTGAAAAACATATTAGCAGATAGGCTCAATAGTAGAGTAGAGGCGACAGAGAATAGAATTAATGAACTTGAGAACGGAACAATAGAATTCATGCAATCTAAACAACAAAAAGAAAATAGACTGAAAGAAAAAAAAAAGAAAGAAAGAAAAATAACCCACAAACAGAGCCTTACAGACCCATGGATGATAACAAAAGATCCAGCATTCGTATCACTGGAGTCCTAGAAAGGGAAGAGAGAACACAGCTGAAAGAGTAGTCACAGAAATAATGATTGTAAACTTTACAAATTTGGCAAAAGACGCACAACTGTAGATTGAGGAAGCTGAGTAAATCCCAAATAGGATAAATCAAAAGAAATCCAAGCCAAGGCATATTATAATTGAACTTCTGAACACTAAAGGCAAACAAAAAAATCTTGAAAGCAGTCAGAGAGAATTGAGATATTACCTATAGGGAAAGATCAATTTGAATAAAAGATTTCTCATAGAAACCATGGAGGCTGTATTAGTTCGTTTCTGTTGCTTATAATAGAATACATGGAACTGGGTGATTTATAAGAAAATGAAATTTATTGCTTACAGTTTCTGAGGCTGGGAAGTCCAAAGTCCATCTGTTGGTGGCAACAGTGACCCAGGGGTCTCACATTGCAAGATGGTGGAAGCAGAGAGAGCAGCGAGAGAGTAATCTCCTCTTTCACTCTCCTTTTAAAGCCCTGCAAACCATGCCCATGCCCTCCATTTTTAATCCATTCACTATGACATGGTCTTACAATCTAATCACTTCTTCAAGGCCCCATCTTTCAATTACCATAATAGGATTTCCCACCCTCTTAACAGTCACAGCGGGGGCCAATTTTCTAATACATAAAACTTGGGGGACACAATTCAAGCTTCAGTGAGTTTGGGGGGCCATAATTCATTCCACTACAGAGGTCATAAGAAAGTAACACTGTATTTTTCAAGTACTGAAATAAAAGAACTGTCAACCATAAATTTTATATCTGGAAAACTATTTTTCAGGAAAGAAATGGAAATAAAAAATTCTCATATAAGGGGAAATTAAAAGAAATTATCACAAGGAGACCTGCCATTAAAGATTGTCTAATGGAGGGATGGCTGGTTAGCTCAGTTGGTAAGAGCATGGTGCCAATAAAACCAAGGTTCAGGGTATGATCCCTATACTGGCCAGTCACCAAAAAAAAAAAAAAAGATTGTCTAATGGAAGTTCTTCAGACAAAAATATAATGATACAATAAGGAATCTTGGAATCTTGGAGCATCAGTAAGAAAAAGGAATGTGAAAAGAACAGAAATAAGTCCCAAATCAGAATGTCAGCTCCTTCCAAAGACTCTAGGGAACAATTCATTTCTTGCCTCTTCCAGCCTCTGGTGACTGCAGACATTGCTTGACTGTGGTAGCTTCATTCCAATCTTCACCTTCATGGTCATGTTGTCTCTTCTCTTCTCTGTGTGTCTCTCCTCTGGGTCTCTTATAAGAACCCTGTTGCTGGAATAAAGGCCTGTACAGATAATTCAGGCTGATCTCATCCCAAGATCTTTAATTTAATCACATCTGCAAACACCCCTTTTCCAAATAAGGCAACATTAATAAGTTCTGGGAATTAGGATATGGGCGTATCTTTCAGGGGCCATCATTTAGCCATCCAAATGCAGAATTTCCATGGGTGGGGTGTTGCATGTTTTAGCTTTCATCTAAGAGGACTCTCATGCCCGGTAAACTTTGGGAACTGCGTCCTTTGGGATTTTCCCTTCCTAGCTTGGTACTTGGGTCCACTTCTCTAACTACTGAACACAAATTAGATTAGTGGAGAATGCAGCAGTTTTCAAGTAAGCACAAACTATCAAAATTCAACCATATGAAATAGACAATCAAAACAGCCCTGTAACTAGTAAAGAAATTGAACCATAATTTAAAATCTATTGAAAAAGAAATATCCAGAAATGGTTTCACTGCAGAATTCTAAATTCATACCAATGAGGAAGAATTCATACCAATTGTACATAGAAGAGGAAAGGATACTTCTCAATTTATTTTATTTATTTTATGAGGAGAGAATTCTTCTGGGACCAAAACCAAACATAGTATTTTTTAAAAAGAAAAAGAAAATTCCAGACAAATATTTCTTATTAAATTTGATGCAAAGATTCTTAAAATTTTTTGGCAAACCAAATCCAACAATGTATGAAAAGAATTAGACACCATGAACAAGTGGAATTTCTTACAAATATTCAGGCTTGTTCAACAATGAAAAAATAATTAATGGATTTGATCACATTCATGAGCTAAAGAGAAAAAATTATACAATTATATCATGTTGATACAGAAAAAGCATTTGACAAAATCAAGCACTGATTCATAATAAGAACGCTCAGAAAGTTAGTAATATATGAGAATTAACTTCATCTTCATTAAAAAAAAAATCTACAAAAAGCCTGCAGTTAATATACTCATTGGTGAAAGAATGAATGCTTTCCCTCTAAGACCGGTAAAAGATAGGATTTTCATTTTTACCATTCTGATTCAGCATAGTATTGGAAGTTCTAGATACTGCAATGAGGGGAGAAAAAGAAGACATGCTGATTGGAAAAGAAGAAATAAAACTGCCACTATTGCAAATGACATAATTGTCTTCAAGGAAAATCTTGACAAATATACAAAATAGCTCCTGGGATTAATAACTGAATATGGCAAAGTTCCAAAATCCAAGAACATGACACAGGAATTGATCACATTTCTATAAGAATAAACATGGAAAAACTGAAATTAATAACATAATTCAATCAGGTGTCACTTAACAACAGGGATACATTTTGAAAAATGCATCATTAGGTAATTCATTGTGTGAACATCATATTCATAACAGCTGCATACCCAGTGTTTGAGAATCAATTGAAATAATATGGCTTTACCAAGCTGAGAAATATTAAATCAGTGTTATGAATCAGTATTGTTTCATACCTCTTCTTATGGACTGATTTTCCAACTGAAATGTTTTTAATGGCTTGATGTTTTATTGCTCTGTTTGAGGAATATCCTTGCAAAAGATGTACAAGTTTGGAATGAGTAATTTTGTATAATGTGATGTGGGAAAACATGTGAAATAATCAAGTAAAACTAATCCACACCCAATTGCCTTCTTGGACCACATAATTCTCAGTTTTGTGTGTGTTCAAATGTGTGTGTATTGGGGAAGGGGGGCCGTGTCCTGTGCCTTATAGGATATTTAGCAACATCTCTGGCCCCTACCCACTAGATACTACCCTCACACTAAATGCCTCTAGACTATCAAAAATGCCTCTAGACATTGCCAAATGTCCCTTAGGGAAGGCAAAATTGCTCCAGGTTATGACCCACTGATCTAGGGGTATCTTCCATGGTTAACATGTCTACTGGTCTTTTTTCCAAGTATGCAAATTCATACTTATATGTACACTTTCCTTGAATACCGTGATCTCTCACCTGATCTATATAGCAAGACCCTCCTAACAGATTTCCCACATCCTCTCTTTTCCTCCTATTCTCTGCATTGTAATGTTTCCCAAAAACTGAGCTTCCCCAGTGGCTTCTCGACCAAGTCCCCAACAAGCCCTAAGGTCTACATGGGCTGGCCCCAGAGGCCACCTCTGTAGCCTCCCTCACACCTTACTCAGCTTTCTCTGTTCTCTGAATTAGCCATTCCCCTTCCAGCCATTGGGGTTTTCTCGGGGGGGGGGGGGGGGGGGGCTTTTCCCCCCAAAT